TTGTTTTTTCCTGGTCCCTTGTTTTTTTTGTTTGGTTGGTTTTTGTTTTGTTTTGTTTTGTTTTGTTTTGTTTGGTACTGAGAAGCAGACTCAGGACCTTGTGCTTGCCAGGCAGGCACTCATGCTTCTGAGTTATATCCCTGGCCCATTATTTTTAAGAGATCTTTCCTTTCATGGTCACTAGCCTTGATCTTTTTTTTTTTTAAGAGGAAAAAGAGAAAAACACAAAACAAAACAAAGCAGTGTAAGGTTACACATAATACAAAACTACAAAAAAAACATAACAGTAAGAAATCACCTGTTAATAGATTACATATTATCATCTTGGAAATAGTTGCTCAAATCACAGTATCAAAGAATACAAAGTAGACATTCAAACAGAGAGACTGCAAACAGCTGTATTCAATGATCCAAAAACATTAATATAGTCAGCTATTTAACACTCACTAGCCTTGATCTTGTCTTGTAGGTTTCAGATTCTATTTTCACTTTCATTGATGCAGTTTTGCCAACTTTCAATGGAATTTTTAATTTCCTAGGTATGTGTCTGAATTTGCTTCATGCATTCCATTTCTTTCCCATGTTGGGCATTCATGGTATCTATCATTTTCCTATACTTCTTGTTTCTCTGTTTCTACTTTAGATTTACTGAGTAAGTCCTTCATTATGGTCATCATTTCTTTTTTCACCTGCGAGATTATTTCTGATCTGATTTCCTCTATACATCATGGATTTGTTTCTATCTGTTGCTATCATTTCAGAAATTTCAGATGTGTGACTTTCATTTTCCTCTATGTTGTCCCCTGGACTTCTTCAGGACTAGAAGTCTGGGGTTGCATTTTGCTGCTACATTTTGTTATTTTTCTATTTTAAAATTTTTTATTTTTAATAAAATTTTAATCATCAATATTTTTAATTTTTTTAATTAAATTTAATTTTTAAAATTTTTTTATTTAAAAATTTTATTTTGTTTTCCATGTTGATTCTTCTAAGTTTTTTTATAGTTGATAGTGTTATCATTAGTATCAAGGTCTGCTCTTCAGGGATGTCTTCTATATGTGTGAAGTTTTTGGGTTTTGTGTCTGTACCAAGATCCTATCCTACCAATTTATTAAGGGTGAGATGTTGATATTTATTTGGCTCAGGCCCTAGTGTTTTTGTACTGGACTGTGATGATGGTTGTTACCCCAGACATTCCCAATGTTGTTATACAGGGGAGAACAACTGATTACAACAAGCATGACATCCTAGCTAATAGAATACAGTTAGCAATCACAATAGCATCCAACACAGTTTAGAAACTGACACACTGTGGTAAATATTAATTCAGTACCTTTAACCACAAGAGCTACAGTCATATAAGAGAACCCAACATAAATTGGAAGCTTTTATGCAGTATTTCCTTTTGGTAGAATGGTTTTACCCTGTGTTGGGTAAAAGTTAAGAGGAATAGTGGATCAAACATATAAATGAAGAGAAATACAGTATAAGCAAGGCTGAAGGAGAAAGGATGCTCACAAGTTTTGGGAAAGCAGAAAAGAGGGCAGAAGAGAAAGAATGAAGGAATAAACAAAGGATTGTCAAAACTAATAGACTACAGAGAATATTCCATAACATGAAAATATTGTTAAATCAAGAGAGAAAATTGATGAAAGGGAGAAAGGCAAATAGATTAGGACAAAAATATAGGTAAAAAACCTAAAAAATATAAGAAGGAAAATGTAACAAAGCAGCAAAGAAAGAAGAAAAATAAAATAAATAAAATATAATGAAAACAAAATTTCTCTGGTTTCCACAGAGAGCCCAGAACTACCGAACAGCCCTGCTGAACCTGAAGTAGAGTTAGTGATGGATATGGGACTATCTTGGCTTCCAGATGTGGAGCATGGGGCCAGAGTCACTAGTCAGTGTCCCTTGCAGGCCCACCCACTCATTATTCTATTTGTCTCTGTGCCTGTCTCCCAGTTGTTGTGCTAGCCTCCAGACACAGCCAGTGGGCTGCTCCCAGTGCTTTGCACAGTTCACTCCTCCTGGTTCTTGCACAGCCTCCTGTGTTCCTCTTCCACTGGAAAGTCTCTGTCCTCTCACATTGCTTATTGCACAGTAGGAAGCAGGGGTGCTGTCCTGTGGACTGACCCTCTGCTCCTGTAGGTGCCATCCAAGGCTGCTTAATCCCAATTCTGGCTCCTCTCCTCAGAGGGGAGCGCTAATCTCCACATATTGCTGTGAACAGCACAGTGCTGCTTGAGTCCCACGTCCTCCTTGCTACTCGTAGCAGGGCAGGAGAGGTCCTGTGATAGCTCGGACCCCAGAATAAAATCCAAGGAAGAAAGAGACTGAAATTTGGGGAGCAAAGGCTTTATTTCCAGGCCTGGTGGCATAGTCTCTCCAAGATTGACCCAAAGACTGCATGCCCCAGAGACTGAAGATGGGGTTTTAAGAGGCCGGAGGGAAAAAGGGGGAGAAACAAAAGAAACCCACAGAGCCGTTAAACTGTTGACCCAAGTCTGGAAACTGTAAAGCTGTCCACTTAGTTCTGACAACATTCGGAGCCTTTGGTGCCTTTTGAGTTACTCCTATCATGCAGATAAGCATTATCTTGGTATGGCACATCTGCAATAACATTTGGAGAAGAAAGTAGAAAGTTAATTATCTCAGGATAGCCCATTAACACTAACATGTGGGAAGGGGTCAAAAGTTACAAGAAGCTGAAACTTAAGTTTTTACAAGGATTTGGAACTTAACCCTTTTGGTGCATTAGGGTTAAGCCACAATATTTTTGTAATTTCTTTGAGGTTAAGCATTTCTTAAGAACAGCGCAATTAGCACATTTTATGACAGGCACATTTTATAACAGACCACCACCGGGTCGGGAAGGGGTCACCAGAAACCCAAAGTCTTTATGGCCTTTCAGGAAATTGAAACTTAGCCTAGATGGATAGGTAGGGGAAAGGGGAGGCAGTACAGCACATTACAGAACAGGAATGCTGCGGGATTACTTTCTCCTTCTTTTGGGGAGGGGGAACAAGGTCAGGTAAGGGTTATGCTGACAAGCAAGTCTCCCTGCAGACAAGCAAGTTACTTCAAACAAGTGTAAATTAGGAAAACATCCTGGTTTCCTCAGCAGAGAATAGAGAAGTCCAACAGTGATTAACAACCCCTGTTAGCTTGTTTTAACACCACATCTGTTGTTTGTAAAGGGCAACACTGGTTAACATCTCAATTAGGTGAGATTTTGTAGTTCTTTACAGAGAAGAGCATTGCTTAACATATCAATTAGGTCACCAGGGGGGAGGAAAATTTATATATGATATGGCCATGTTACAGGTAATTTGCTATAATATAAATATAATGAAGCTATTTTCTTAGAGTACAACAGTCCTACTGTTCCACTGCATGATTTCAGCCGGCACCTCCACTGCCACCTCCACCCCCAGTGCTGTGGTTGGTACCTGTACTGACCAACTGCTTCTGCCACTGCTGCTTGGTACTGTTCCACTGTGTGTTTTCACTAACATCTCTGCCACCCCCGCCTGCCTGCACTGTAGTCTGTGACCTCACATTGCCAGGGAGGTGAGATGTGCCCTGTGGATTGATTTTCTATTCCTGCCACTGGCATGGCAACAGCCCCAGGCTGCTCGGTCTCATAGGGCAAGACTACTTACATCCACTTCCCTTTAGCCATTGGTCATGGGGCGGGAGGAGGCATGCTGTTCTGTTCACTACATGGCCCTGCAGTCTTTAAACTTGTCTCTAGAGGTTCCAGTTAGCACTTTGGTGCACAAAAGGAAAGAAGAGCGGAGGGGAGGAGCAAAAGAAAAGAGAAGAAAGGAAGGAGAGGAAAAACAATAACAGGGCTGTTGCTCACCAGGAGCAGATCACTCAGTCCTGCATATGCCAGTGGACCTTGCTGCCAGGCTGCAGCGTCCTCAGTTTAGAGGCAGGAGACTTTATATCCCAAGTCTAACCCGTGTGGCAGGATTTAGCCATAGTATTTTAGTCTGTTAATTTTTTTCCTTTTCTTCTTTTAATCTTCATAGTATGGTGCTCTTGTTCCACTCACAGTCAGGTGACCCACTGGCAGCCCTGTGGGCAGGATCACCATTTTATTAAGTCCTGTATCTTTGTTTTGTTTGACAAAACAAGTCTGCTATTTCAAGTTTTGGCTTCAGGCTGTATGCCCCTCCCTTTCTTCCAGTTACCTATGGTTTTTTTTTGGAATTTCTCTGAGTAGTTCTGAACATGGCTCCTCCTCTATTCAGCTTTTCTTCCTTTACAAAACTAGTTTGGTAGCTGCCTATTATGGTAAATGTCAGCAATTTGACATCCCAATGTCATCCCAATGACATCCCAATGTCATCCCATTGTCTTCTAGGCTTCATTGTTCCTTTAGGTTTCTATTTTTCTTTTCCCTTTTTTCCTCTGCTTTGGGGAACAAACCTGGGGCCTCCTGCATGCTAGGCAAGTATACTACCACTGAATTAAATCTCAAGACCTACTTGTCATTACTTCTGATGAGAATTCAGATGTTAAAATTTTAACAAATGTATCAAGATGTAATTTACATCCTGTGCATTTTACTTGTTTAAAATGTAAGATTCAGTGCTTTTTAGTATACTTACAGAATTGTGTGTCTATTGCCATAATAAAATCAGAACACTTTAACTACCTCAAGGACAAACTTGAATTTCTTAGCTATTACCCTCCAATTTCCTTATACTCCCAGTCCAAGGCAACTACTGATCTCCTTTTGGTTTATGTAAGAATTGCCTACATTGGACATTCTATACATGAGAACTTACAATAAGCCTTCATTACTGGATTCTTTTACATAACTCCATCTCTGACATTTTTCCATGTAAATGTGTTATCTTTGTTTTCTTAATCAAATGAGCTAAAAAATCATTTGTAGTTAATTTCATTTTATTGGTAACAAACATTTCCTGTTAGCAAAATACATGATTAATTTAATAGCTATCCTATTCTCTAAATTTTTCTAGGAAGCTTTGAAGACCCTTCACGCAATTTCACTGAACCTCCAAAAGGAATTTACAATAAATCTAAAATTGCTTTTCGATCTTCTAAATTTACTCCATTTCCTTCACTGAGTAAAAAAATTCCATCAGGTAACTTTTAACATTTTTTTTACAATATGATTTTTAAAATAAAGCTTTTATTACATGGAATTAATAAAGCTTTAGTCATATAACACTTTATCAATTAATGCTAATTTTTTTACTATAGCCAGTGTGACAATGCTGTTGTTATAAATTGGTTTTTGATAGAGTTATTTCCAAAAGATGAAAAATATTAACAAAAAATGAGAAATATAAAATAAAAAGCGGCCTTTATTCTGAGAACACGGAGAGAGATGACCGGCACCCCACCGCTGACGTCCGGCGATCTCTCCGGCGGACATGCGGCGTGGGGGCCTGTAAATAGCCTCGGTTTGGGGTGGAACCTAAGGCGGGCATTAGGGATACACAGGTAGCCCATTGGTCCTAGGTTTGGCGCCATATGTAAATTCCCAGGGGCGGGAAGATGGCGTCACAGGTAACTTCCTAGGGGCAGGGCAAGATGGGGCTTCCTGCTTCCGGTTGTGGCTTTCCTGGCTACAGTGTCCTGTCTGGGCCAAAACCTTTCAGTTTTCTTGAGATGCCAATATCTAGATTGCCTTGGGGTCATTAACAATGCTCTACCTTATGCTGGGAGAACTAGGTATGGGGCCAAATATGCTTCAACCTCCCTCTCATGTCAAGTAAACAGAGACAGCTGGATCCTGGGATAGAGGCAAAGACCAGTAGTTGGCCATGCCTACTGGACACCACTGAAAAGTAGACATTTACTAAAGAGGTCTCTAAGCTGAAATCAAAACTTTCCAGGACCATGAACCCACAAACCTCGATACAGAACAAACAGAAAGGTGTAGGGGTGGGTCTTAACCGCAACAGGAGATATTTGGGCCTGCTTCTGAAAGACGGTGAATTCAGGTGAAGACAATGAAACCCACTTTCTGACCTGGTAAGCAGAAAGAAAATAGTATCAGAAAAGTTTATATAATGGCAGAGGATAGTTTTCAACAATAAGCAAAATCCTCAGCTTTGGAAACTCAGCTAGTTTCCAAACATGTTGACAAGATAGACTAGGACAATGAAAGATTTCTCTGGCCAAAATGTAGATGGATGTAATTAACTGGGGGCTCCCCTGTTGCTTAATATCACCTACAAGACTGCCCTCCATTGATGTAACTCCTAGTTTTACCTATGATTTGATAACAGCCTTTTCTAAGTAACAGCCTTTTTTCTGGTGGAAGTATTATTTATAACAGTAATGTTGCCTTTAAAAAAGCAAAAGAAGGGGAATAAGACAACTAAAATATAATCCACCTACCTTTATACTCCATTACTAGAAATAATTATAGTTTTGTTTTGTGGACCAAATGGAAATGACAATAACATTTTATTTAAAAGTAAAACTTTTTTGAGACAAGGTCTCACTGTGCAGTTCAGGCTGGCCTGGAATTCATTTTGTAGCCCAGGCTGGCCTCAAACTCCACCTGTCTGGCAGGAGGTGAAGTCAGGCCTTAGTAGGAGGATGGGGAGGGGCTGTAAACAGAGAGGAAGCCCTGCTATCTTCCTGCTGCACAGCCTGCTTTCTACCCTGCGGGGCCCTGAGGCTAAGCATGCACAGTCTGGTGTTTGGTTCAGCATTTTTACTCTAAATAGCAGATAAATTGTTTTCATTATTATAGCAGTTTTTAACAGTGTCAAAATAATGTTTATTATAGCATTTCCTAGCATCTCTCCTTCCATTCTTGCAACTTAATTTTTCACTGTAGAAAGGTAAACTTTTTAATGGAACTTTTTAAATGTTTTATATAGAGATAAAATATTTGCTAATAAAAGGAATATTTGCTAATATATAATTTAATTAGCCATGGAGTTTTTGTTTTCTTTACTATTCTGATGTTTAAAAAAGCTGTTTCAAGGGCCAGAGATATAGCTCAATGGCACAATACTGCCTGGCAAGCACAGATCCAGAGTTATCCCCGCTACCAAAAAACAAAGGAAAAAAAGCTGTTTCACTGACATTTTTATATATGGTATTTTTGTTCATCTTGATTTGTCTTGTGGTAAATTTTATAAATATCAATGACTATAAAGGGAAGAATCAGAGAGATAATATTTATGTTGGTGAAGCTGCTTTATCTATCTGAAAAAAGTTGTAAGGAAATTATGCTTTAGAAGTGGATTAAGATTTATTCTAACTTTAAAAGTTGAAATTGGGTAATTTTTAATGTAGTTTAATAACACTGTTCTCTTTTTTTTTTAGGAAAGTCTAAAATCACAAGCTTAAAGCAAAAGTCTGTTAAGCTTTCAAATACTCTACCTACTTTGGCCTTTACCACTAAAAAACCCATTTTTAAAGGTAAGAAAAAGTCACTACAGTATAGATTTATGAACTATTTGTTGCTATTTATCAATGTTGCTAAGATTCTAGCAACACTGATAAATAGCAAACAACCAATATCTTAAGCAAAGCATATATGTATGAAGTATTTGGTGGTTCTATGCAATTTTATGCTTAAAAGCAGGTAAATTTGCCTCCAACCCAGGTAAATTGATAGATTTTTCTCATCTATGATACCTTTAATTTGCAGCAAGGTTTTCTAAAATGTTAAAATGTTAATATGTCCTATTTTATTCAGCAGTTCTTCAATGGGATAATATTTTAATTTTTATCATTTTTAAGCAATGGTTCAATAAATGTTTATTTTGTGTTTTTCTATTTTTTTAATTTTAAAAGAATAAAACAAAACAATAGAATAAAGTAAATCATAACATAACAATGCAAGTGATATAGGACTTCAAAACAAGACAATAGGAAATCAATAATGGCTACCTTAATGTCCCTCGTTTTCCTCAAAATAGTTCTCCATATCTTCACACATAATAAAATCAAACAAAATAAAATAGAATAAAACCAAACAGAACAAAAAAATGAAAACATTATAGGACTTCAAAACATGATAATAGGAAATGACCAATGGCTGCTATAATGTTTCTCTTCTGCAAAATAGCTATCCATACTATCACACCTAATAAAATCAAATAAAACAAAAGAATAAAACCAGTCAAGACAAAAGAATGAAAGCATTCTAGGACTTCAAGATAACAGGAAATTAACAATGGTTACCATAATATATCCTGTTATCGTCAACATAGCTGCCCATACCATAAGACACAGTAAAACTTAACAAAACAGGACAGAATAAAACCAAATCTAACAAAATTATGAAAGCAATACAAAAATTCAAAACAAGATAATAGGAAATTAACAGGAGCTACCACTTTCCCTTTTTAGGCATTTCCTCTCCTATCACCTTCATAATATCTGTTGTGCTTTTTGGATCCCACTAATTCTGCTTACAAGGGAGGTGAGCTGGTTGCTTGGTTTCCCAGCAAATTAGGTTCCAACATGGTGCGGATCTCAGGAGACGCTGGTGGTTCTTCTCCTGGGGTGACTGCAGCCTGCCACACCACAGCCGCTTAACAGGGATAGCCAAAGGAAATTAAATCATCATATCAAAGGAGATACCTGTACTTTTACATTTATTGGAATACTAGTCGCAACACCAATGTTCAATGGATGAATGGATTTTTAATATTTATATATAATAATTGCTAAAATTATATCTATATAGTGGAATATTATCCTGCCACAAAAAGATGCAGTTCTGTCATTTCCAACTGTGTGGAAGGAACTTGAGGACATTGTTTTAAATTGATAAGATATGCATAGGAAGACAAATAACATGTTATTCATTTATGGAACCTGAACAAGTTGATTAAACAGAAATACTGAGCAAAATGGAGGTCACTAGAGATTAGGAATAGGAGTGGGAATGGTAAGAGAGTGGGTAATGGGGAACAAGACATGATCAGAGGAGGAAAGTTGTTCTAATGTTATATAGCTCCATAGTGTAATGATAGTCTACAACAATTAATTATGAATTTCAAAATCACTAGAGAAGAGCTTGAAATACATAGAATAGTAATATTTGAGATGAAAACACTACTTACCCTGATTTGATCATTATACAATTTATTACTATAAGTATACATTTTTTATCAGTTAAATTGTGAAGTTTAAGAATGGCTGTTAGATTGTTTAAATACCTTTTCAGAACCTTATTATATAATCAAAACCTTTTCCTTTTTTCTTTAACCTTTATAATGGATTATTTGGCTAAATCTTTTCTTTAGATTTTTATAATATTGAAATGAATTATCAATACAGTTTCCTTTCAGTTAATTATATATTCTAATATACATATTAAATACATAATAAATACATATTTTTATAAAATATATATTTATATATAAATATATATTTATTAAATACATATGAATACATGTGTTATATATGTCCTAAGCAAGATTAGTTTGAGGATTTTTATTATAAATTATACTTATTAAAGAGTCAATTGATAAAATGATTAGAAGAAGTCTTTTTAATACATTCAGGAAAAGTCTAAGTAGTACTAGTATTTTTTCTTGGAATTCTAAGTAGAATTCAGCCATAAAACTATACCTGTCAGTGGTATATCTTAATCACTTTTCTGATCATTCTTGGATGGATGGATGGATAGATAGATAGACAAATAGATAGAAATTGCTTTTTTTATAGGGGATAAAACAGACTAAAACCAATCAAAACAAACCAGTGTAAAAGACACAGGACCTCAAAACATTATAAAATCAACAATTGTTACTCTAATTCCTTTTAATTACTTCAAAATAGCTGCAGATAACCAGATATAGTGAAAATCAAACAGAACAGAATAGGATAAAAACAAAACAGAACAGTGAATGTAATAAAAGATTTCAAAACAAGCCTATAGCAAATCCAAAATTGCTAGCATAATATATCTTGCTATCTTTGAAATACCTGCTCCTGCCACTGAATTTGACATAAACAAAACAAAGAAGAATAAAACCCAACCCAACAAAACAATAGAAATAATACAGGATTTCCAAAACAAGACTATAGGGAATCAAAAATGGCTACAACACTCAAGAGATTCCTCTCTAGATGTCACACTGTGTACCACTATCCTCTGAACCTATGATCAGACCACTGGTCCTAGACCTGCAATTTTAGTGAAACAGCAAAACACCACAGGCATCCAATTGCATTTCACCTCCATAGCTATCATCACAGCCTGTGTTTCTCCAGATAAACCAGTTGCTTATGGCTGTGGGGGGTTGCTACTTCTTGCTTGCCAGCCCATTTGCTGGAAGGGGTTGGGGTCTGTCTTGTCCAGTTGGGTGGTGGCCCACGCATGGCACTGGTTCCCAGACAGGATTTTCTTACTGATGCGGCTTTGTTCTCTCTACCCCCCTCCCCCCCGGTCCACAAATAGCCAGATACTGCTTTTTAAAATGTCTTTTCTGATTTAATTTGGAATAAAAGAATTGTACATAATCATTAATGAACTTTACCATCTCTTCTGTAACTGATTATTTTGGCTTCTCATTCATACATAGTATTATAAATTTTTTACACCTTCTGTTTTATTTTTTCTACCAGTATTGTTAGTCCAAGTCTAGCATTTGCTTTTATTTATTCTACTTTTCTATTTTATTACCTGTAGGATTTTTAAATTTTTTTATTTTAAAAAGAATAAAACCAAGCAAAATAAGCAGAATAAAGCCAATCAAAACAAAACACTGTAAGTGATACAGGGTTTCAAAACAATAGGAAATCAAAAAGGACTACCATAATGCCTCTTGTTGTCTTCAAAATAGCTCTCCATATCTTAGATATAGAAAAATCAAACAAAACAGGATAGAATAGAACCAGTAAAAACAAAACAGTGAACTCAGTACAGGACTTCAAAACAAAATAATAGTAAATCCAAAATAGCTACCATTTTATATATATATAGATAGATAGATAGTTATTGTTATCTTTGAAACAGCTGCCCATGCCATCAGATATAATAAAATCAAACAAGACAAAACAGAATAAAAACAAACAAAATAATGAAAATGATACAGAACCTTAAAACAAGATGACAGGAAATTAACAATGGCTACCACCTTCAGAAGGAGATCCTGTACAGCATAGATGCTGTACTGTGTATTGTTATCCTTTGAATAGATGATCAGATTACCAACTTTAGACCTGCAAAGTCAATGAAAAACTAACCACTACAAGCATCAAGTTATATTTTACTTCAGGGGCTATCATGTTTCTCTGGATCAGCCAATTGCTCATGGTGGAGGAGGGGTGGAGAGTGCCCCACCTTTTCTTGTCTCCCAGCCAATGCACTGGGAGGGGCTGGCATCTGGTTGTCCTTCCTACAGCCTGTGCTCTGTGCTGACTCACAGGAAGTGCTATAGTGTTATTTTTATTAACTTCCTTTATTTTACATTCCTTCTATTTTTTGTCATTTCACTAATTTTTTAACTTGAAAACAAATCCTTAATTTTTCAACCTTTTTAATGCAGTAAAAGGATTTGAAAGCTGGGTGTGGTGGCACATTCCAGTAATCCCAGCACTCAGAAGGCTGAGGCAGGGGGATTGCTGTGAGTCTGAGGCTAGCCTGGGCTTCAGAGTGAGTTGAAGACCAACCTGAACTGCATAGTGAGACCCTGTCTCCAAAAAAAAAGAATTTGAGTAAAAGTATTTTCTGAATATTACTTTGAGCTCTTTTTTATTGGAAATATTCTTTTTAATTCTTTGGGTAATTTATTGCTTCATTTGTATTTACCCTTTGAAATAGGTGTTATTCATATATTTACTAGCTTTAAGTAGTTAATTACCATCTTTTTAGCGATGTGTCCAATTTTAGAAACGGTTTTCATACATATTCTAGGACATAATGAAAAAATACTTAAATTCCCTATTCCCTGTAAACTGTATTACAGGAACATAGATTTATATTTATTTAAACATCTCTGTGTTTATATTTGGTCATGGTCCCTCCTTTTTTGTTTGCATGATTTATTTTGTTTTGTTTTTGAGACAAGGTGTCACTCTGTAGTTCAGGCTGACCTTGACCTCACTAAGTAGCCTAGGCTGGCCTTGAATTTGTGGAGTCTTCCAGGCTCCGCCTCCGAGGGTGCTGGAATTACAGGTGCACAGCACCACACTGGCCCAGTATGTTTGCATCTCTACACTTTTACATATTCCTTCTTTTGATGTTTATATATGATTCCTTTGTGACTTGGTAAATAAATACTAGTGATTATTTTACACTATTGTTCATTGAACACTTCAGTATGTGGTAATGTCCTTTCTTAGTGATATGCATCATATTTGAGCCAGAATCCTACTATGTGACAATGACTGATATCAGACTCAGTGCTTATTATTTCCTATCCCTTTTGTCATTCTCCAGTTTGAATTCTTTGTACTGA